CTTTAACAGCTCCACGAAGCAACGAACCTTACTCAAAATAAACAAATTTGAAAGGAAAGCGTCTCTCAAATAATTTGGTGTGGTGTACAACCAATCACCGTTGTGATCCAGATTAATCAGGGCCTGCCAATTAATTTTTGCAATCTAAGCTACTGTATCTGACAAGCAGAGAAGGTTTATCCCAAAAAAGCCAAAGCTTGGTTCAAAGATAAAAAGAATTTGCATTAGCCGGGAGTCGAACCCGGGTCACCAGCTTGGAAGGCTGGTATGATACCGTTACACTACTAATGCTCGATTGATAAATATGGATATCAATTCTCAGTCAAACTATATCATTGAAATATTTTTGTTTATCAGTGTTCAATACCTCTTCTTAGCTTAATGAAGTAGGCATCTTTTTTCATTTCCTCCTTGAATGGGACATCGTCTGTTCCATATTCTACCAATTGACACTTATTCTTGTAGAATTGAACCAATGCAGTGGAAACATTAAACACTACACATGTGACAGTTTCACACTTCCCTAACTTTCCAATATATGCAACCATCTCAATCATTAATTGTCCAAAAGATATATTCTGCAAACCGCCAAAAGAAAATGTTGAACCGGCTTGTATTTTCTTTTCCCCTTTGCTAGCATTCCAAAATAAATTGTTTGTGGATCTTTCTTAAATTGGATAAAGATTGATCCTAACACATCGTTATTTTCTGCATTTAAAAGACACACAATTCCATGGGGTGTTGTTAAGCTATCTTCAATGAGGCGTTTGACTTCATTATCGTTTGTTCGTTTTCGATCTTCACCTAATTTAAAAACGTGACCTTCTTTTCGATATGCACAATTGACCATCTCTAAAATATTGAATTAGAATCCAATGAGACAAAAATCAAAGGTTGATGATTCGGAATTTAAAATTAATGCAAAAACAATTTACTACACACCTCTGATTTCTTCCGCTTGTTCGGGAAGTGCAAGTCGGATCGAAAGCTGCACATGCGACGTCGAAGATGCCTTCATTGAAGGATGACATTCTTGTTCTATCAATTCACTGACATGATTTTGGTCCCAGAAAGTCTTGAGAGCTGTCATCGTTTTCATTGTCATCATTTTTTTGTGTGATCAAACATATGAAATAGTACGTACGTATTTCGGATGCTGCCATTTTTTTTCGTTTTTGAAGTGACAATGCAAAATTCTAACTCGGAGTTTATTGGGAGTTAAACTCCGTTTTGTGGAACTTGATACCATAAATTACAAATGTTTTTGGCTCGCTCAAAGGCAGTACTGAGCATGTACTGGCTGTAATAGCCCAATGATTGATGCTTTTGTTCTATTTTCTCAAAAATGTACTGAATGTGGTTGATGTAATTCAATTGTACCTGCTTGTCGTCCTTTAAAGCTTTGATTATTTTCTCGAGTTGTGACAACTCTCCAAGACTTGTCCCACTCAAATTCACATCTCTTCTTCTTATATATGAAGCAAAAGCCATTTGTTTTCTAATTTCATTTGGACATGCAATACTCAGTATTCGAGAGGCAGTTAGCAAAGGTAGAAATCGAAAATTTCTTCCAATAGAACAGCCTAATCAACAGTTAAACAAATTCAGAATGATATTTCTGGTAACAACAATTATTAACGTACCTAATTCAAAATAGCTGTAATTGGGATTTTTAACTAAATGGAGAGAAAATTAATTATTGAGAAGCGTCGAAATAAAATACAAACCCATATCTTCCCGTAGTTGCATGACAGAACAAGCTTGAATGCGAGTACTTTAAAAATTAAACTCACCTATTTTGTTAATAACGAAATATAATTTTTCATAAATGGAACTACCAAAATAGAAATCTTGAGTGTCTTTAGACTTTGAGCTACTTCCTCCATACACATTCGAGAGAACACTTTTGAAATTGGATTCCAAAGCAGAGTAGCATCCCATTAAAAGAGTGTCCAAAATAGTTTTTCCAACAGTGGAAACTATGCCACCTCCACTCGACGATGGTTGCATATTCGATTGTTCTTCTTGTGGTGTCGAGCTATTCAATTGAAGTTGATTATATACAATTTTGTACAATTTTTCTCGAGTATCGTGGTCAATAATAGTAAGTTGTAACATGTAGAGAGAATTACCAATACTCAATAGATGGTTAGGACTTAATAAAAATAAAACAAGCGCTATAATTGTTAAAGTAGTGAGAGGAACATTAGTAGTTGCATTCTTCCTTAGAAATACTCAATTCAGGATAATAGAATGGGTACCTACATGATTGTTTGTAAAAAAATTCCAACACTTCAATGTTGGCACGAAACTTTTCAATATCACAATTCATAGATCCTGCAATGACCTACAGTAAAGTGCCGCTTGAACAGATCTTCTGCACTTACCATTGAATCCAGGTGTGTCAATAAAAATTAAATTCTCGACAAGCCAGTCATTTTCATCATGCTGGTTGGTGGAAAACATTTTTGGATCTACTACTTGCCAGTCTTCAGTTTCATCTTTTTCGTATTCTTTTAGTTTCAAAATACAAATTATCTATAAAATCGTGAATTTCTTGTTCTTTCTTTTTTGAAGTTTGTCTTCGATGGAATGTTTCTCACGCGTTTTGCTTCTTTTCTATTGGCTGATTCGAGTTGTTCCAATTCAGTTCCATCAATGAAATGTGCATTTACAATAAACGCTTTCACTAACTCATGGTGCTTGATCAACACTGATTTCATATTGGATTCATAAAATTGCTTGTATCTATTCATTTTGTCGGTGTGGGACAGCTCATGATAGATTAGATCTTCTCTATCATCTGTGTGTTGTCTCTCCATCGGATTTGTTTTCCATTCATAAAGATCAAAATTTTGATCATGTTTCATTCTTCTGTTCAGCTCACTCAGCTTGTTATATTTAGTGCTACCCACGAGTGACACAAATTCCTTCTCGCTCACACATTCGATTATTGTGAATTGTGTGTCAATAGCATTTTCTCCTGTTTCTCGAATTGAAAGACTTGAAAATAGATAATTAATTAGTGATGATTTCCCTGATGATTGAGATCCTAAACAAAGAACCACATTCTTATTGAGTGGAGTTCTACTAAAATCCAACTGATACGACTCCTTCGCAATGTCAGCCATTTCTTTCGAATACAAGTCCAACACGTCTTTGGACAAAATTTGGGGCACTGTTGAAGAAGCGCTTGTTTGCGTCGATAAGGAATATCCATTCAATCCATTATTATAATACGACATTGTTTTTCCGTAAATATTTCCCAAGTATTGCATTTCCGATAAAAGTTTGGTTATCGGTGGACCAACGAAATCGTTGGATTCAATTATTGGGTTGGTTTAATTGTTGGATGAAAAGCAACAATAATTAATTTTTTTGTCTATTTTTATTTTCGTTTTGTCGTTCGAATGAACGAGAACGCAATTCGCTTAAACAAAATATGCGCCAAAAAAATCTACAAATTAACGGATCTACATATTTCATTTCATCAATACAATCAAGTTTGAAGCTTTAGAAAAGTTGTTGTATCGTAACAAGATCGTTTCATTAGATCGATACACTGAAGCTTCATAAATTAACCATCATCATTAGTAAATTGATTATTAAATTTTGACTCATACATCATCACCCGACATTCCTAGAAATGAACAAATATGTTACAGAAAAGAAGCTAGGAAGTGGAAGCTATGGCACTGTTTTCATTGTGCATCCAGTGTCCAATGTTGATAAAAAGTATGTGTTGAAGAAGATTGCGTTGAAAGGAGTGTCGCAAAAGGAAAAAAATAACGCCAAGCAAGAAGTCAAGCTACTGCAGGCGCTCCAACACCCTTTCATCGTCCGATACATTGATTCTTTCATAGATGACGAAAGTAACCTTTGTATTGTGATGAGCTTCTGCAAGGGAGGAGATTTGGCATCGTTTATTCAGAAAAATTACACCTACCAAAGAATTCCAGAAAAGACAATTCTGAAATTATTTGTTCAGTCCGCATTAGCTCTTCATTTCATTCATTCTCAAAAAGTCTTACACAGAGACCTAAAGGTAGGTAATTGAAAATATATTTACAATTTATTGATTTTAAATTTTGAAACAGTCACAAAATATATTTCTTACTGACAAGGGAAATGCTCGACTTGGTGATTTTGGTATAGCCAAAGTTTTTGATGACGCTGGTATGAGAACATGTGAACAAATGGCACAGACAACAATCGGCACACCCTTGTACATGAGGTAAGTAAGAGTTAATCTTTAGATTCACTGCTGAGACATGATATTTTGATGATCATCAGCCCAGAACAATGTAATGGATCAAAATACAGTTACAAATCCGATGTGTGGGCTCTTGGAGTGATATTGTATGAAATGATCAATCAAGGGGCTCTTCCTTTCAAAGGAAAAACATACAACTACTCTTCTTGAATATTCAGAAAGGATACTACTCTCCTGTAAAGAATGTGCACCACTATAGCAGCCAGCTTGTGAATTTGATCAACAGTTGTCTCCAGACAAGACCCAGCAAAAGGCCAACTCTTAAGGAAATTTTAAATACTCCAATAATTGTAAAATATATTAGACAACAAATGCTCACAGTTACCTCTACAGGTGAACTGACATTGGCCCAAGACCAAGTAGAAGACACTGTTCTTGACGGCGAAATGTCAAATTTATTTATTCAACTAACTGAACTGGGAGTTTTAAATAACAAAGCGCTTAATCAAGACCCTCTACCCGTTCCAAACCCGTCTGTGCTCCAACCCATTGTTCCTCCAAATCCTAACTACAACGTGGCCAAGAAAGCAGTCGTTCCACCACAACCTAGAAATCA